CAGAAGTCGGGTGGTCCATTTACCGGCACTTTTCATTGGATGGATAAGATGCGCGTGCCCTAGCTTGCAGTGCACCAAACGTGGTAGCACTTAGAAAGTACTGTTAGCTCCATAGTCAGACATTGGGCACCCAACAGGAGGACCGTCGCGCGGCGGAAGGTAGAGACGCAGATGGAACAGCGGACGAGTTGTAGCGCGTGCTGTGTAGGACGCTTTGCAGTACATTCTATTTATCTTTGTGTCATATCGCTACAGTACGTGCTACGACTGTCCGCTTGGCCGTCTGCGTCCATGTCTTCTCGCCGCGCGACGGGCCTCCTGTCGGATCTAAAGACATTTCCTCGCTCCGGGTTATCGACGCTGCTCAATAACGCGCCATATCTTCTCATCTTCATATTTTCCAAATGGAACTTCCCCTGAAGTTATGATCACATACCAATCAAGCTCAAATCATGATAATGGTCACCTTTTGCATGCGGAGCATTTGTGCAGAAAGCCAGTCCACGACCTCATTTCTTATATATTTTATTTTCATTCCTATTGCAATTTCAGAACCGCCATTTCCTGTTCTCGCTATAAAACGCCCTTCCCAATAGTGGCAGTCTGTCGTCACGCCGAAGTGTGTCGCCAATTAAATCTCTGCAGGTTAGTTCGAGTCTCGTTAAGATGTTGCAGAGCTAAATGTCGGTCGCCTTTGCTACTTCAGACGGGGCTCAGTACTGTCTGAATTGAGCCAAGGTTTGTTGTTCATTGTATCAGGATGACCATTGTTCGGAACGCCCGAATAAGCGCTATCATATGGCATCCCTCTAGGACTAAGCCCAAGAGGGGAGCAGGAACTCTGGAGAGAACGAAAATCGGTCTCGCGCTCTAGAGTCTCTTTTACTTGCCAAAGGCTTAGCCACGCTTCGAATTAAGGAGGTGTTTTGCGGTTTTAAGTGCATGGCCACTCCAACGCACCCGTATCCTGCGATTGCTGCCCAGGCCATTTGTCCCGAATATGCAGGTTTTCTTGCTTAGCGTCGAAAACTCTTCAAAGTTTTTTTGTGTAATTTTGTGTAGCGAGTTCATTGTCATAAAAAGATGCATGACTGGGCATATATTGGCTGTGTAGTATTACATCGTTCTGGACATTTGCCCCAATCAAGAGAGTTTATTCGGTCAATATTCCCATTTTTCATGAGAACTCGATCCTTCATAACATTGCACTTTTCTGAATTTCAATTTACCCTAGAAACGTTGGGATTCCTCCGCAACAATTCCTTTGATGCTGATGAATTGAGCAAAAGAGCAGTTTGTTGCAATCTAACCATTTGCGCCTTAGAATGCGTCAGTGCTCCACATTTCAGCCGACATTTGAAAGCCTGTTCTCTCTCGTTAAGGCTGGCTTGAACCTTCACTGACGGCGTTAATATGGGTACCAGTTTAGGTCCGCCCGCTACCGCGCGCATTGATAGAGCTGACAATCTGAAGCTTTAGGTTTCACCGCTAATTATAGCTGCTTCGTTAAATGTATTATTTACCGTCAGTTACATAGGCTGCCCATCTTGGCTGTATCTCACTGTTTGATAAGCGCAGTGAAGTGCACAGCTAAAGTGATGATGTAAACAACCACTATGCGTCGAGTATCGAGGTAATTTAGCGGTCGAATATCTCAAAACGGAATGCCCAGTATTCATTATCATATTTATTCGAGCATCCCATTCATCCTCAAGAACTCTAGAAGGTGTAGCGGTCGAAAGGTGTTTGAGTTTACAATTACAACGCTGATGAAATGATATTGAAATGAAAGGCATTATCTGCAATCTGGTTTCAGTGCTCTCTACGTTCGTACGCATATCGTTACTATCAGTCCTCTCGTTATCACTTTTTGACCCCACCAAATATGTTCCCGTCCCACCCACCTATATCATGCCCCAAAATCAGCTCCTGACGACTGCTGCGAAGCGCACTATGAATTTCGTGAAATTTGTGTTTCAGCGCCTCTTATCTGCTCTTATCAGTCGTTATCACTTTGTGACCCCCACCAAATATGTTCCCGTCCCACCCCCTATATCATGCCCCAAAATCAGCTCCTGACGACTGCTGCGAAGCGCACTATGAATTTCGTGAAATTTGTGTTTCAGCGCCTCTTATCTACTCTTATCAGTCGTTATCACTTTGTGACCCCCACCAAATATGTTCCCGTCCCACCCCCTATATCATGCCCCAAAATCAGCTCCTGACGACTGCTGCGAAGCGCACTATGAATTTCGTGAAATTTGTGTTTCAGCGCCTCTTATCTGCTCTTATCAGTCGTTATCACTTGGTGACCCCCACCAAATATGTTCCCGTCCCACCCCTATATCATATCAAAAAATCAGCTCCTAACGACTGCTGCGACGCGTGCTATGAATTTCGTGACACACACACGCACACACAGACAGACAGACAGACTTAGCGCTTTATATATAGTAGGGATTCTTCAACAATTGTTTGCCGTCAAAATACGAACCCCCTTCCGTTTTTGTTTGGAAACGCTAATTGGACAGCTAGTTAGAAGAACAAAAAGGCGCGGCTAGCGTCTATAGAATACCTGGCTTTATCAAGACTGCTACGATCGGGATTAGTGCAAAGTGGTCACGCTACCACGCGCGAGCGGTCGCGGGGATCAAATCCTGTCCGTGAAGTCGCCCGGCCAGACAAGCTTCCAATCTACGGGTTCACTTATCGAACCTAACGAGCCGTAGTCGATCTACGGTACAGTCTCGGCACTAATGGAAGAAAATTTTGCCCCCTCCCGTTCGTTCCTACTGCCAGCCTCTGCGTCTCCACACACCTTGACCACGATGCCTCAGTCGACCAAATAAGACTGAGTCAGCTTGAGTTTTGGTGTCATTGGAGAGAGGGATCCATTATAGAGAAAAGCCTTACATAACAGATATGTTAGAGCAATTCTATTTTCGCTGTCAAGAGTTCTCGACCTCCTCCTAACGTACCTCAGTCCTGCGCAACGATCTCACCGACGAATCCAAAAGCTCGCCGATTGATTCACACCACCATGGTATTAAAGAACACGCGTCATTTTCAAATTCAGAAGCAAGATGTTAGTTGTTGATCATAACAATATATCCTTCTATTTATAAAGCGCTAACTTTGTGTGTCGGTTTGTGTATCTGTATGTGTGTGTGTGTATGTATGTATGTGTGTCCGTCCGCAAAATGAAGTGAGTGAGAAGGAAGCTCATGGGATAAACAAACCGCTAACAAATCGGGTAGCTTACAGGATTTGAGATATCAATGTTTTGTAGCAGGATAGTTGTGATAACACTCTTAGGGCTATATAAACACCTGCTTAGCACACTTCCGTTCATTCCACATGGTGCTGCAGTGGCAGCTGGAGGGCAGTGGAGAGAGGAAGGGAGGATGAGGAAGGGAAGCGAAAAATCTACCGTCATATCATGATTGTGTCCCTTCTACTGTATGAAACACCATTGTGTTGCATACGCGTCACTTCCAGGGTGTTGGTGTCACAGGAGGAAGGGACCATAGCGGAGGATAGAAAGCTTGCGCATTAAAGGAAGGTCCCGGCGGTTGACGGGGGGACTAATCTGGTAAGCAGATAATGCTGCCGTTAATTGACACCTTTTTTTGGGTGCGCTGCCAACCATTAAACCTTCCAATTTGTACTATTCGTATGGTTTGAAATGCATTGGCCTATACAATGACTTGCGGGGCCAGCCGATGTACAAGTCAGTGTTTTATCCTCCCAGACAAGTCTGGTACCAATTAACCGACCCCGAGAGGGATGGAAGGCTTGGTTGGCCCGGGCGACTCACGACCCAGGATTTGATCCCCGGGACCGCTCGCGTGGTAAGCGACTCCCTATCCCGCTTTGTCTTGTGATATAATTTAAAAAATAAAGCGCTGCTTACGCCTAGCGTCGAACAGTTATAAACTGTTCGTCAATCATGCCTTTGCGTTGTGGCATACCGAAGGCGACAGCCATCGCATCAGCATTAAGACCTCGCCGACCTAACCGGTGGCCCCAAAAAAAAAACTTTTTGACACCAAAAAAAAAAAAAAAAAAGACTTTTGCCCCTGTGCTAGCGAGTCAAAAACGGTCATTCCCACGTAAATTCCGCCGTGGGAGGATAAAGAAGTAAGAAGTATGATTGTGTAAATTAGTTCGGTGATCATCTTTTCAGAGCCGTTTTCCCAGTGTTCTACAATAAACCGAAACAGAATGACTACAATACTGACACCGAAAGTAGAATCAATCATGGTATTGAATTTGGCAAGGGAAAGGGCTTCATAAATAGAGGAGATTTTATCGTGGTCATCAATGGATCCGGATTTGGTTAGTGCTTAGACAGCTTTTGTTTTCTTTTTCCTACGAGCGGACTAATGTGCATATTTCAGGCTCTGGACTCACCAATACAGTACGTGTTATCACTGCCGCATAATTTTTCGCTGTGACAATTTTTTCTCTCAAGTTTCCTCATCTATTGTATGCTAATCGAAGTCAATAAACGTTTAGCGTTAGATTACCCGGCAAAATTGGCATAGAATGTACGATTCCTTTGAAAGAGCAAGAATGAGAACTCAGACGATCCAGAATGAAAGTTGCAGTACACATACAGCACTTGTAGCACGCATATGCACTCAGTAGAAGGATTAACACCTACACGAGAAACGAGTACAAATCAGGGTGTTAGTGTCCTTATGGGGATATTGAAGCTGGGCTGTGGTAGGTAGTGGAGGCCAACTGCTATCGGTGGGCGTGGCATGTACCAAGTGGGCGGGGTTTGTGGCCAGACTTGTATCTCGGTTCTAGAAAGTTCCAGGGATCGGAAAAGTGTCCTCGGGGGATATTCAAGCTGGGCTGATGGTAGGTAATACTAGGACCAAGCCCAAGAGAGGGGAGAAACGCCTGAAAAAAAGAAACTGCTCACATCTTCCCCCAGAATCCTTTCTCCTCCTAAGGCTTATGGTTAGTCCAAAGCACAGTAATTAGCTCACTCACTTTAATGAACCCGTCAACGACACGATCGCCCAAATCAGGAATTGATGTGAATTCCAAGAACTCCCAATCGTCGTACAACTTGTTACGGTCAGCATAGACGCACCCAAACATCCACCAGAAATTCTGTTCCCATACCCAGAATAGAACCTTTTTATGGGTAAACAAAGCGGTCGCGCTAGCTTAGATGGAGAAGAGGTCCACACGGTCATTCGAAGGAAAGGAAATAAAGGCTGACCATGAGATGAATCCGACGAGTTATGGCTCGTCGGAGCCCTCTCAATATCAGCGCCACGATGGAAACGAAGATCAAGCAAAAGCGGTACCTTTCTTGT